GGGACAAGGTAGTCAATAAATGTCCAGAGAGCTGACAGTCTCATGTGAGGTGGTGATGAAGCCGGGTAAAGGTGATATGGAGCCCTGGGGGTGGGGCATTGCTATTTTATTCAAGATACTTAGGGACCTTTTCAATAAGATGATGTTTGACATAGGAGCAGAAACCTGAGGAGAAAGAGAAAGAATCATTAAATATTTGTGAGAAGAGCATTCCAGATGGAAGGGCAGTGATTCTAAAGGCTGCTAATGAGAGTATGTGGCGAGTTTGAGGAGTGCCAAGTCAGCTGGTTTGGCTGGAATAGAGTGACTCAGGGTCAGGGATAGGAAATGAGAGAAGAGCAGGGAGCTGGGGTGAGGGCTCTTGCACACTGATGTCAACACTGGCTTTGTTCTAAGATGGGAAGCCATTGGCAGGTGTCAAGCAGAAGAGTGACATGATCTGAGGTATTTCAGAAGGACCTCTCTGACTCCCAAGGGGAGAGCAGGCTGCAGGAGGGGAAGGGTGGAAGCAGGGGAGAAATCTTGGGGTCTTACAGCAGGGAAGCAGCAGTGGAGGTAGAGAGCAGTGCTCAGCAGGTGTATTTTGAAGGGACAGCCGAATGGACTCACCCATGGATTGGATGTGGTACGTGAGGGGGGACTCAAGCATGTTTGCCAAGCCATTGACTCTGTCACCTGTAAGAATGAATCTGGACTTTCCTTTTTTAAAAAAAAAAAAATTATTCGAGAGAGAGAGAGAGCGTGAGAGAGCACACTAGCAGAAGGAGTGGGAGAGGGAGAAGCAGACTCCCCACTGAACAGGGAGCCTGATACAGGATCCTGGGATCATGACCTGAGCCAAAGGCAGACACCCAACCAACGGAGCCACCCAGGCACCCCTGGACTTTCCTTTTAAAGAGGTGGAACAGACTGCAGGAGAAGCAGTTTGGTAGTGGAGGCAGGTGGGAAGTGAACCAGAGATTGGGAGTTCTGTTGTAGACATCTGAAACGTGAGGTGCCTGGGATACGTTCAAGTGGAGGTGTTAAGTCATGGGATATAATGCTTTGGAATTTGGAGCGGGAGATAAATGTAGGAGTTATCAGTGTCTAAATGGTATGTAGAGTCAGGAGAGGAGAAGATCATCGAGGGAGGGGGAGGATGTGGAAATGCAAGAACGGATCGCAGGGCCGTCCAGTGTGTAGGACCTGGGAAGATGACAAGGAACTGCAAAGACAAGGAATCAGGAAAAATCAGTGAGACAAAACTAAGGAGAGTGATGCCATGCAAACCAAGTGAAGAGAATGTTTCCAAGGAGAGAAAAGTGATCAGCTGTGTTAAATGCTGTTGGTAGAAACATCAGGAACTGATCATTGGGTTCCATAATGTGGACATTACTGGGGACTCTGAGCAGCGATTCCAGATGAGGAAGAAAGACTGATCGGGTCAGATCTAAGAGGGGGTGCGAGGAGAAGTAGAAATAGCAAAGAATTGTTTTTGAGATTTTTTTTTTTTAAAGGGAAACAGAAAAATGGAGTGGCTGTTGTCAGAGGGGGATGAAAAATGTTATGGACTGAATGTGTTCCCCCCAAATTCATAGGCTGAAGCCCTAACCCCCAGTGTGACAGTGTTTGGAGACGGGGCCTTTAGGGAGATACCTGAGGTCAAATGAGGTCAAATGAGGTCACAGATACAGGCCCTAATGCAGTAGGACTGGTATCCTTATAAGACGAGAGGGGTGCCTGGGTGGCTCAGTTGGTTAAGTGTCTGCCTTTGGCTCAGATCATGATCCTGGAGTCCTGGGATAGAGTCCCTAGTTGGGTTCCCTGCTCAGTTGCGAGCCTGCCACTCCCCCCTACTTGTGCTCTCTCTCTCAAATAAATAAATAAAAGCTTTTTTTTTTTAAAAAAAAAAAAAAGGAGATAAAGAGACACTCAGGATGTTGTGTCTGCAACAAAGAAAGGCCATGCGAGGATACAGAAACCAGTGGTCATCTGGAAGCCAAGGAGAGGGAGCCTCAAGAGAAACCTTCCTCTTGAACTTCCAGCCTCCAGAACTGAAACAATCTTGTGTTGTTTAAGCTCCCTCCCTCACCCCCTGTCTGTGATATTTGGTCATGGCAGCCCTAGCTAATAGGAATTTTTTTTTTTTTAAGAGGGGGTAATATCGTATCATGTTTATTTTCTGAAATGAGCAGTCAGTAGAGGGGGAATTCCTGGAGCAATGTTCCTGGGTTGTGGAGATGGAATGGGTTTAGCATATAAATATAGAGGTTTGTTTTGTTTTGTTTTTTAGATTTTGACAGAGCAAGTGAGAGAGAGAACATGAACAGAGGGAAAGGCCAAGGGAGAAGCAGACTCCCCGCAGAGCAAGGGGCCAGATGTGGGGCTCCATCACAGGACCCTGGGATCATGACCTGAGCCAAAAGCAGGTGCTTAACTGAGCCACCCAGGCGCCCCAGAGGTTTGCTTTTGATAGGGATGTAGGCGGATTTGTAGTTGTGGTGGGAGGGTAGGAGAATTCGTTTCTTAATCCTTTTATTTTTTTGGTGGAATAGGGGAGGCAAGATCATAAGTGGGGAGGGAGAGTTGGATAGAAAGTGGAGTTTGAGAAGTATGATATAATTGTCTAGCAGAGTGGGGGAGCAAACACGAGAGAGATGTCAGACAACTGGGCAATGCCAAGAGCCCACTGAAATTAGTGGTCATAGATTTAAGTGAAGCTAAGTCCTCATGCTCTTGTGTTTTTCTTCAGGATCATCTGGTTGGATTAGATGAAGATTCAGATCCAACCAGGGGTTTTGTCACGAATGGCAGGGAGACCACATGCAAGAGAGTGGTTATAATGATGGTCTGTAGGGCAGCTCAGGTGGCTCAGCGGTTTAGCGCTGCCTTCATCCTAGGGTGTGATCCTGGAGACTGGGGATAGAGTCCCACGTCAGGCTCCCTGCATGGAGCCTGCTTCTCCCTCTGCCTGTCTCTGCCTCTCTGTGTCTCTCATGAATAAATAAACAAAATCTTTTTAAAAAATGGTCTGTAGAATCTGAGCTGAGAGAAGATGAGGGAAAGCACATGTGGGTGTGAGGTAGTGGGATCGCTGCATCGTGGGTTCCAGGAGGAGAGTTGGGTTATGATAAGGGGTGAGCTGGAAACACAGAAGCTGGTGGTTGTAGGATGCTTGAAGTTGAAACTGTGCAGAGGGTGCATCTGGAATCCCCCCAGGTCTAGGGGATGACTGACTGGTTAAAGTAGGGAAAAAAAGAACAGAGAATCAGCCAGAGAATTAGGAAGTGTGTGCAGATATTGAATTACTCTGACACTATGAGGCATGCTCCTGCCATGGCAGCAAGCATGGTGCTAAAGTCTTCAAGGAATGAGGGGAAATGATGCAGGGCTGTGGAGTTGGCTGGGAGGGCAGCAAATTATAGAAAGACACGAGCCTCAAGGCTGGCCATTTTTTTTTTTTTTAAAGAGGTAATGGTCTGGAACAGGGTTTCTCAACAGCAGCACAGTTAACATTTTGGATTGGGTAATTCCTCGTTGTGGAAAGCTGTCCTGAGCTGAGCGGCGTTCCAGACTTCTACACGATAGATGCTAGTAGCACCGGTACCCAGTCATATGAAGAAAAAATGTCTCGAAGACTTGGTTAAATGTCCCTGTGGGGCGAGATCACTCCTGGCTGAGAAGCATCGATCCTAAAGTAGCAGTGATGAGCCCACAGGACACCTACCTGATCTCGGGGCCCAGTGGTTATAAGGAGTGAGGAAGAGCAAGTAGCTAACACTCTGTGACCCCAAGAGAGGGTCACAGGACCATCACTGTCTTCTGAGAAGAGCAGACTTGAGTTAGAGAGCACCCAAAGGGATTCTTCCCAGAAAAGGATGAGAGTACAGTGAATATTTTAGGATTTACAGCTATGCTGTAGCTCCCATCGATCAGCCCTAAGGAGGAAATAAATGTATTACACGATGACCTGTGTTTACTTCACTTCCTTGGGCTGACCCATCACTGCTCAGATGAGTCACCTGCTTTTTTTTTTTTTTTTTTAATTTTTTTTTTTTAGTTTATTTATGATAGTCACAGAGAGAGAGAGAGAGGCAGAGACACAGGCAGAGGGAGAAGCAGGCTCCATGTACCGGGAGCCTGATGTGGGATTCGATCCCGGGTCTCCAGGATCGCGCCCTGGGCCAAAGGCAGGCGCTAAACCACTGCACCACCCAGGGATCCCGAGTCACCTGCTTCTTATGCGGATCTTGCAATGCAGATCTAATACACGCCAAGTTTTGCCATAGGAGAAATCCAGAGTCCCAGAAGAACACACCATGTATATCCAGCGAAGCCCTTGGCAGAGATGAGGCACCAGCCCTACATGCTTCCTCTTCCAAGAATTCTCTTCAGGCTCTCACAGCCAAGCAGGCACGTTCTAGGACTTAGGGCTTCTAGCTACCTTCCCAGCTTTACAGACAGAAGTGGAGACTCCTCTCTAAATAACAAAGGGTTGAGAGGGAGGAGGATGAAAGGATCTAGGTGCCTGGCATGAGGAGAACTCATGCCATAAAGGGGGGGATGTATTGCTCCCCTTTATTTACTTACTACTTGTACACCCTTGGCCAAATATTAACCTAGGCTTGCGAGGACGAGATGGAGTGGTACAGGGGTGAAAGTGGGGGAACTGCCCCTAAACAGCAAGATCACATTACAATCCACTTGAAGTGTGCTAGGGAAAAAAGGAGACACGATGAAAGGAAGTTTTAATTCTTTAAGGGAAACAGCAAACGTGTGGCACCGAGAAATACAAGAATTACAGACCCAAAAGTCCAGAACTCCACTACCCCTGTGATCTCTTGAGTCCCAACAGCACAGATCGCTCCGTTCCAACATGAGAGAAGGGAGCCTCAGGTGTAGAACAGACACTGCCACCTGTCACGAAGAGAAATGCGATGTCTCTGGTGCCCAACCAACCATCCATCCATCCAATTAGCACATAACTCCCAGAAAAGGACTGAAACTCAGAGAGTAGAAGATAAGGTAATTTGTTTTTAATTCTATCCATTTCTTCAGCATTAGTCAAGGTCTGGGGTCCTCTGGTACCATGAAGTTGCTCTGGCTTCAGCTCTCGCAGGCTGGCCACCTGTCCAGGAAGGCGTCAGAGGGCCACAGTCCTGAGCAGACTCCTTGGTGCGCTCTGCCCACCTGTCCACATGCATTCCGACTTCTCCGTGACCTTCCCACAGCACGACCAGTGCGGGCGACCCGGGTGGCCTTTGTGTCCGTGGCCACAGCCTAGGTACCCACCTGTGTGGTACAAAGAGGAGACAAAAGACAACCATTATCAGGCTGGCCGTGGAAACTAAAGTTTCTGGCAACAGGTTGACTCGTGGATGTGAAAATATTCAATAAAAACCCGGCAAGAAAAAAGCTATTTGATGCCTTGGGATGAGGACGCTGGCCAAGGATTGAAGACCGCAAATCAACAAAGGTTTGCTGAAGTTCCGAGAAGAGTGTTGTTTTAACATTCTGCTAACTTGGGGCACCTGGGTGGCTCAGTGGTTGAGTGTCTGCCTTCGGCTCAGGGCGTGATCCCAGGGTCCAGGATCGAGTCCCGCATTGGGCTCCCTGCATGGAGCCTGCTTCCCCCTCTGTCTCTGCCTCTCTCTGTGTCTCCGGGATCAGGACCTGAGCCAAAGGCAGATGCTCAACCATTGAGCCACCCAGGCATCCCAAGCATCCAGCTCTTGATCTCAGCTCAGATCTTGATCTCAGGGTCGTGAGTTTAAGCTCTGTCCAGCATGGAGCCCATTTAAAAAACAAAAACAAAACAAAACAAAAACAACTTAGATCTCTTGCTTGAGTCAACTCCCCTCCCTGCAAGAAAAGAGCCAGACCTGGTCAACTGATTTAATCACCCACTTCCCCATCCCTGACATGCTTGGACTTTCTTTAAGGTTTTAAAAGGAACAGAGCGGGTTTGGATTTTTTACACGGCCAGGTTGCTGGAAAGGGTAAGGAAGCAAATCGAGCCACCCAGGGAGAAGCACAGGGCTCTCCTAAGATTCATGAACTGTATCCGAACTAAAAGAACTCAGAACTTTTAAGTTTACTATTTGACTTCTCAGAATAAAGAAGCTTTAAGTGAAATTTTTAGAACTGTAGTGTATTTATATGCACAGATTATATCGCTATAGAAAGAAAGCCTGAGTCTGAGTATCCTAAACCTATGGCATGTGGCCGTGGACCCCCACTGCTGGGAGACAGGCCCGGGGGGCTGGGGGGTAAGGACTTCCGAGAGCATTCCTTCTCACCTGGCATGGTGCCTCCACAGGCACAGCGAGCAGTTTTCTGGCCTCCGCTGGAGCAGAACGTGCAGCAGTGAAACACACCTGGGTGTGGGCGATGCCTTTTCCTCACGGTCACGGTGAACGGTGAGCCCTTCAGTGTTCAGAACAAGAGCAAAGAACAGGCGACCCTATGAGTCAACAGGGTCGGTGCTGAATATCACCCGTGCTTAAACACAGCCTAAGTCACAGAGTCTAGCCACGGGGAGACAAGGACAGCAGGAGGGAGACAGATGAGGGGACAGGGACTAGCTGGGTACTCAGCTGGGTGGCCCCAGCTACAAATACAGTGAGAGTCAAGGACCCTATGCTGCCCGTCTATCATGTGGCCCACCTGATACACGAATGACCCCAGGCTGTGTTTTGTGTCCCCAGTGTCACTATTTTCTCCGTTCTCGAGGAGTCTCGGGGGTCACTAGTAGAGCGCTGCAACCACAAGCCTAGGCCATCCTGTGATCCTTCCTCCTCCCCTCACATACTGAGCCTCGCTCCCTTCCTTCCACCCCTCCGTCCTGGACATATCTATTTTCCCACCCGATTATTCTCAGTCTGTGAGGATTGAGGCCAGGGAGAAAGGTAAAGAGTGTGTGGTTTAATAATTCTCAAATTTGAAACTCTCCTACCCTGCCCCTTCCTTTCCAGGACACCTTCTGTTCTCCACTTTGCATTCTTGTTAGACAATAAAAATTAGAGCATAGCTTATGTGTCTATCCCTGAGCGAGAAGTACGCAGTCTGCAAAAGCACCAAACAGAGAGAGTCTGGCACATGAGACGCCTTTCAGATGTTCAATCTCTCTTCCTTTCAAGAGTTTATGATCCGCCTTAAAAACAACTTGGGAGTTCAAAGAAAGGAGCTGAAATTCTGATTTTGCGTTATAGGTACTGTGTACTGTGGGCGATGCTTCCCATGCCTGAGTGGCTTGGAAGAAAGGCGTAAGAATGTACTCGAAGGGACCTAACCCACTCCGGCATATGTGATTAGACAAGCAGTAAGTGGCTATAGAACAGGAGTCTTCCTGGTGCCCACACCACAGGCTCAACCTATCACGACACCACAGTGTTTTTATCATCTCCGTCGGTGTTGCTCTCTGGTCGAGGAAAACCTGAGACGACTTGAGATTCCATTGGACATGCTGACTATTGCCCAGTTTTTAAAAATTTGTGATCTCTGAACCAGAGAGTGTAATCCTTGTCTGTAGAGGTGGTTCAGTAACCCTGGTAACAGCAACGCACATATGTAAACAGGCTAAAGGGTTACGAGGGCAGATGGTCAGGCGGGTAGATGATTGGTCAGTTGCAGGGAGAGGGTGTAACTCCCCCAAATTGTGTTCCAGGACGTCTGCTCACGCTCTGAACCAAGGCTGGAAAATTCTGAGCTAGATTATATTGCTTGAATGTGTGTGCCTGTCCCCTGGCAGACTGCCCCCTGTGATTAAGGTGCTTGCCCAAATGAAGCATGCTCCCAACTGGGACACTGCCAGGAGAAAGGAGAAACAGGGATAGAGTTCTTATGGTCACCGGCAAAATCTGGGTCATTTCTAACATGAAGAGAAGACAGAGAATCCTACTCAATCCGTCCGTACAGCTGATCCTGGGCGACATGTCTCTGCATCCCGAGATGGGAGAGGCCAGAGGAACTAGGAAGAGAGGTGGCCAGGGAGGCGCACACAGGTCCTACTCACCTGCACATGCTGCTCTTTGATGCAGACCAACACGGTATAGATACCAGGCTCCTTGGGGGTATAGGAGATGTAGTACGACCCATCCTTGTTATCTTGTACCAGCGTTCTGACTGGACTGAATACAGACGGGGTTCAAAAAACCACTCGCTCTCACAGGCCGGCTGCAGCTGCCCACCACTCTAGGATGCAAACTCTACACCATTCAACCCATTATCAATTTGAAGTGTCCCCCAAGCAGAGCGCTTCTTCCACTGGTTTCGGAAATTAATTTTACAATGTAGGGAAGTGACATAAACGCTGATTTTAATCTGTTGTACAGATGAATTCCTTTGAAAAATGCTGCTGTTCTCTTTGATGGGCTTCTGTTGTACCCTCCCTCTCTCCTCCCTCCTCTGATTCCAGACACATCTAAATATACTCCCGGCACAACGCAGTAGCAGTGGGGCTGAATTTTGCAAAGGGGACCATTCCATCTAATGTGGAGTGTTGTTTCAGACAATCTGATGGGGGGAGCAGACCTCTGGGAGTGAATGGGGTGGTGGCGTAAGACCCGCACAAGGAAAACACCTCTGCTCCGACTGGCCATATCACCTTTTTTAATAGCATCTGGAGGGCAGAAGAGGGGGTGGGTAGGACGTAACTACTGCAGGTGCACCTCCACTACCGCGAAGGGCCTCGAGTGTCCAGTTTCATCATCGCTTATCACCCTTGACACCTGACTGTGTAGTACACACCTGTCTTTCTTATCTTTAGGGACTACTGCGACTTGCACGCTGTCTCCTCCCCTGCCCATGCTCTCTCCTGCCGAGTCCTTACAAAGCAGGGTGAAAGAGGCTGTCTGTTTCTCCCGGGCTCGGTGGAGATCTGCGGAAGATAAACACCCACTCCTCACCTCAAAGGCCAGCCGCATCCCCAGAACAGACACCCACCATCTTGCTACTTCTCTTTAAAACAAAAGCCCATGCTTCCTGTTTACTATAATCGCCCTGCTCCCTTTCTCTTCTCTTCCCGCTCTGTCCCCCAGAGCATACCCCTTGGGAGTCCCTCCTGGCAAGCCTGGTGCCTCTCAGCCAGGTGCTGTTCTTGGATCGCACAGGATCATGAGCCTTAACTGCAGCCCTAAGGGAACTTTGAAAATACTCCGGATAGACCTACATGTTCAGAGTAGAAAACCTCCAGACCCCATGAGGGAAGCTCGTAACCCCCAAAGCTTCCCTCTCTGAGCTGCAGGTCATGCTGGAGTAGGGAAGGGGGTACAACTGATCAGCGTGGACTCCAGCACCTGTGCCAAGCTGCTGGGGGAGCATTCGATAGGTACAGCCTCTGGTCCAGCAGATGCAAAGGGCCTTCTTGACTTGGGGCTCATGGACTACCCTGTGGTCTCTGGAAGTCTTATGGGGAGTCTGAGAATCTCCTGAAGTGATGTGCCCAAATTAGTGGATGTTATTTGGAGAGAGATCATTCTCAAAGAGATCCACGACCTCCAAACAATGAGAAATTCCTATGCCAGAGTCAGGCTGCGTCTATGGTACAGTCTTTCCATCGGAACTCACCTCTCACATACATATGGTTGAATAACTGCCTCCCTTAGGAATAGAAGGGTCAAAGGAAACTGTTTCCCCCCAATGAACGAAATGCCTACCATCAACTTTTAAATGCCAGGATGTGGCTTCCGAAAACCAAGGACACAGAAGTATGCTCTAACCCTGTCTTCCTCACTCCTCTGAAACTCTTTGGAACTTGACCCAAGCATTCTGGGTCCTGCTCTCCAGGATTTCACCCCGGCCTCTCCTGTTATCATCTTTGGGTGCTGTCTCTGCTCTATCATCTGATCGAAAGAGCATGCTCCTTGAGGTCCTTGCTAGTTACGACTTTGATCAACTGGAAAAGGGTCAGGCCTCACCCCCGTATGGAATACTAACTGGACCCTGCCAAGAACAAAACAGAAAGCAAGGGCAAGGGAGGGGCACTGTCCCTTAGATCAGTATGGCTCTCTCCCTTGGTAAACTGGTAGGCAGGGAACTCTTTCTAGCTTAATGAAGGCCCCGGCTGAAAATGCCACACGTCTCTAAATGGCATGTCCCCGGCCACTGCCCTCTTCAGGCCGGTGGGAAATGCCTTCCTACCTTCTCCTTGAAGGACGCACTTGGCCGGATCAACCTCTTTGGTGTTGATGGCCCCATAAACTTCATAGCCATGGCAGCGGCCTGCTTTCTGCTGAGGAGAGAAGCATATCTTATCGTTTACTCCAGGATGGGTGCTATATTCGACTTTGTTCAGCTTTGTGAGCCGTTCTACTACCACCCCCTTGGTGATGAGGATTTCCAAGTCTGAGCCGCTGGTCAGCAGGTGCTCCGTGAACTCCACGCCAGTCCGCATGTCTGCCAGCAGCTGCTCTAGCTGCGCCTTCTGCAGCTGCAAGGAGTTCTCCTTCTGGACCCGGATGTCTTCCAGCTGCTTCAGCAGCTTGTCCCGATGCTCCTCGATGGCCTTGATGTAGCCCTCGGAGAACGTTCGCACGTCGGCCGCCACAGCCTCCACTCGCTTCTGGAGGGCAGTGTTCGTCCCTCTGATCTGCGCTAGGGCCTCCTCCAGCGCCTCCACGTGCGGCTGGGTGCCCCTGAGGAGCTCCCGCACCGAGTCCCCGTGCTTGTGGATGACATTGCTCGTGAAGTCATAGGGATGCCCCCGGTGCTCCCCCACCACGCAGTCCCGGCATACAGGCCGGTCACAGAGCTCACAGAACAGCCTCAGCTCCTCGGCCGGGTGTGCGGGACACAGAATGGGCTTCCCGAGCCTGCTGTAGCCTTTCAAGTCCTTTAGGTCCACCATCGTATGGTAAGTCGTTTTCTTCTGCCGCCTACAGGCAAACAGATCAGGAGCAGGAAATTAGGGGCACGATTCAGTGGGGGAACAGTCCAGCCGTCTTCAGAGCATGGGCTCTGAAGCCAAACCAATCTTGGATTTAATCCCTTGCTCTGACCCAGTTCCTCATCTGTAAGGGGGACAGGGGCAGAGTAACACCTACTCCCTACTCAGAAGGGCTACCACATCGAATAAAATGATAGTAGACTCGGGCTCCCTGGCCTGGGATGCGACTCTGCCAAAGGTGGCAACGCTAAGGCTACGCCCTGGAACTTTCTCTCAAGAGTTAGTTTGGCAAGTTGAGACAAGAGCCACGGCCTACTCCTTCAGCAAGCTAGAAGTGAGAGCACGGGGGGACCCCAGTCACCAAGAGACAGAAATTATGCCACATGGCACAGCAATAAACCCCCTGCAATTAAAAAGTGTCTAGGTGGCTCCCACAGAAAGGCTCCTTCAACTTTCACTTGAGATCTTGGTAAAGCATTTCCTTGGACCAGCGCCTGCATCACCCAAAGCAGCAAGCTAGAATTTGCCCCAGGAGTCATCAGCATTATTTGCAAGAGTGAAATCAGTGGCCGGTAGAGTCACGGCTCCCTTTTCTGTAGCCCTCTAGAGACTCAAGGAAATCCCCCAGGAGACACGGTGACTATGGAGAGATCCCCCATTAGCATGATATCAACTTGGAGCTTGCACGCCTATTCTGGCACCAGAAGAGTGGCTGTAGAGAAAACAGGGTCAGCTGTCTAGCGGGCAGCATGACAGTGGTAATTACAAGTTAAAAATAGGAAGACTGAAGACTACTAACGTGTTCTGCTGGTGAGACCAGAAAACAAATGGAAGGCAGAATTTAAGAACTATTTTAAGCTAATCCTAAAACCTTGGCTATTTTATATTCTGATGTCCTAGAATGGGGGAGGAGCTTGAGAAAGGACCAAGAGTGATTCATGTGACCGACTATTCACCGAATGCCATAAAAGACATAAATCTGCACCCCAACAAGCACCGATGGGCCAACTTCACCAAGCTCCAGAATCACCACTCTAGGGTGCAAGGCAAAGGCTGTGGTGCCCCCTGCCCCTAATACCACTTTCTACTGGGAGGCAGCATGGATTAGTAGAAAGCACAGAATAAGGTCAGAAGAACTGGATTTAAACTTGGGTTCTGTTGTATGCAACCTACCAGCTGTGGGACCTCGGCAAATCACGTATTGCTGAGCTTCGGTTTCCTCAAATAACAAATGGGAGCGAAAACAGGGCCTGCTTTTCTATAAGAGTTGCAAGGCAACAAATGAGATCAAGGCCAGGGGCTACGCTATTATTTTCATTCTTCTCTGTTTATCCAGCACCCACTACAATTATTCACTATACAAATGACTGATGATCCAAGGAAACTGTGAATGTGCTTTGCAAACTGAAAAGAACTATGCAAGCCTTTGCTTCTATTATTACTAGGGGTGTTAGGTAAGGCTGCAGGAGTTAACTGCCATTCTCATGCACTTCCAGAGCCTTCACTGCTCTTTGGCCTGACATGGCATTCGAGAGGGCTTTCCTTCCCATCTGCTCACCAAGGGATTTCTGGCTCAACACCTCTTTGTATTCTGCTTTGAAGCTACACCAGGTGGGGTGTCCCGTCTTTACCTATGAGCCTGGCAGCAGAAGTGGCAGAGATTGGCTTTGCAGGTCTGACACCTCTTCTCCACTTTCCTGTCGCTGCACAGGTCACACACCAGGCCCTGACCTTCCCCACGAAGGCTCTCCAGCATCACATCATTCATGGCCAGGTGATCTATGGTTAAAGCCTTCACTCCACCCATGGGCAGGTCCACCTGAGCGTCACATACCGGACAGAGGATGCCGATCTGGGGCTGCAGACTGGGTGGCTTGAGTCCCTGGAATATTGACCCCTCAGAGCTTGTGTCAGAGTCTCCCCCTCTGATGTCCACTACTGAGAAGGGTTCCAGCTGCTCCAGACACGTGGTGCACACTGTGTGCAAACAAGGCAAGAGCCTGGGGGCTTTGAAAAGCCCCCTGCACAAAGGGCAGTGAGTCTTGCCTGAGCTCCCCGGTGCGGTCCCACCGGGGGGTCTGCCCACGAAGCCCAGCAGCGGCTTCCTGCTTTCTGACATATTCCCCACGCTCGCGCCCAGGTTCAGGAAAGGCGCTGGGCAGCCCTATAATGAAGCAGCAGGTGCTCGAGCCGCCCAAAGACAAGGCTTCCAGAATGTGAGCAGAGACCATGGGGGCTCGCCCTGCGGCAATTCAAAGGGCAAAATGGTAGAAGATTCGCCGGAGGAGCCACCCGCAGACGTCCTTAGGAGGGCCCCCGCCTCTCCAGGGCATCCCATACCAGGCGCGCGCACGCCCTCCGGCACCCCCGCCCCGGCCTCCTCCCCGGAAGCGCTTCCAGGTCTAAGTCCCGAGGGGTCCCGCCGCCAACCCCGGGACCCCCGCGCCCCGCCCGCCCGCCCGACGCGCGACCAGCGCCCCCCCCCCCGCCCCGCCCCGCCCCCGCTCCTTCCCTCCACCCGGCCCTCCGCGGGCGGCCCCCGGCGGCAAGCGCAGCTCCTCGGCGCCGCCGCCGCCCCTGCCCCCGGGCCCAGGGCGCCCGGACGCCGCGGCCCCTCCCCGCGCCGACCCCAGCCCGGCCCCGCTCGGGCGAGTCCAATCACCGTCCGGCGGGGGCGGCCCTCGCCGCTGGGGGCCCCGCCTCCCGCCAGAGTGACAGCAGCGGCATCCAATAACGTCTGGAAATCCCACATCTTCGGTCCACTCCGACGGGGAGGGGAGGGACCAAACTAGGAGCCGGGGGCCGGGGGCCGGGGGGCCGGGGGCGGAAGAGAGAGGGGCCGGGGGCGAGCGGCATAGTACAGCCAGCGTCACCCTTTTACGGGGACTGTCTATCGCTGTGGCGACCGGAGAAGCCAGGGGACCCCTTAAAAAGCCGCGCTGATAGGCCATGGGGACGACCTCCTTAGCGCCCTCGGATTGGGCCCACGGACCCAGACTGGGCCCTCCCATTGGCGGGGGGCGCTGTCAGTCGGCCCCGAGCTCAGCGCACTGCTTGCTGGGAGTTGTAGGACGAGGCGCCTCGCGGGCGGCGGAGGCCTCGCTGGCGCCGACGGTCGTGCCTGCCTGCGGAGTGAGCCCGCTGGTCCCCCTCCGGCCTCCCCGGCCTATTTTAGTTGAGGAATCCCTCGGGCCTAGCGTGCCGGCCCCGGAAGCTTCGTTTCCCGGGGCTGGAGCCCCCGAAGCCCTGGTGAGCGTCGAGCCGAGGGCGGGCCTGCGCTGGGGGAGGCCGGGCCCGGGGCCCGGGGAGCCGTTGTTTCCCTCCGGGGCCGCGGCGGAGGCTTAGGGGCAGCTCCCCCAGCACCCGACGGCTCTGTGTGCCCGACGCGGGGCCCGTGGGGCCGGGCGGGGCTGGGGCCGGGGCCGGGGGCGGGCCGAGGCTGAGGCCGCAGCGGGAGCGCCGAGGATGTCCGCGACGGCGACCGCTTTGTGGGCTCACGGGCGCGTCAGGCGACGGCCGGTGGCCCTGGGCCCTGCCCCGAGTCTCCTCACCGGAGCCTCCTGATGGGGCCCTGGGGGCTCTGCCACGCCTGCGGTCGGGGGCCTGGAGCTCCAGGCGTCCAGGACCCGGAACACCCGAGCGCCCTCCCCTCCGTGCTCCTGTTCCTTCCTATCTCTGAGGCCTGATTATCTGTCTCCCTGCTGGTTTTGTTTATTGGCCTCCCCTGCTCCATCTGGACCCCTGGGCCGCTGCCTCGTTGACGTCTGCATTACTCATCTCATGCCCCAGGCACAGTGCCTGCAGCCTAAGCTTACAAAAGTAGGGAAATCTGAAACACACAACACGAAATAAAATAAAACTTGACTCCAAAATACGAAGACTGTAAACATTTTTAGAAAGGAACTGTTGCCCATTTCCAAAATATAACATGTCAACGAGTCAAATGCCACTTTAACTTTTTTTTTAAGGATTTATTTATTTATGAGAGAGGGAGAGAGAGAACATACATGGACGAGCAATCAGGGAGAGGAGGCAGGGAGAATCGTCAAGCAGACTCCTCACTGAGCACTGAGCCCAACAGGAGTCTCCATTCCGGGACCCTGAGATCGCTGACCCCAACCGAAGTCAAGAGTTGGCCACCCAACTGCATGATCCCAGGACCCCGAGATCGCTGACCCCAGCCGAAGTCAAGAGTTGGCCACCCAACTGCATGATCCCAAGACCCTGAGATCGCTGACCTCAGCCGAAGTCAAGAGTTGGCCACCCAACTGCATGATCCCAGGACCCCGAGATCACTGACCCCAGCCGAAGTCAAGAGTTGGCCACCCAACTGCATGATCCCAAGACCCTGAGATCGCTGACCCCAGCCGAAGTCAAGAGTTGGCCACCCAACTGCATGATCCCAGGACCCCGAGATCGCTGACCCCAGCCGAAGTCAAGAGTTGGCCACCCAACTGCATGATCCCAAGACCCCGAGATCGCTGACCCCAGCCGAAGTCAAGAGTTGGCCACCCAACTGCATGATCCCAAGACCCCGAGATCGCTGACCCCAGCCGAAGTCAAGAGTTGGCCACCCAACTGCATGATCCCAAGACCCCGAGATCGCTGACCCCAGCCGAAGTCAAGAGTTGGCCACCCAACTGCATGATCCCAAGACCCCGAGATCGCTGACCCCAGCCGAAGTCAAGAGTTGGCCACCCAACTGCATGATCCCAAGACCCCGAGATCGCTGACCCCAGCCGAAGTCAAGAGTTGGCCACCCAACTGCATGATCCCAAGACCCCGAGATCGCTGACCCCAGCCGAAGTCAAGAGTTGGCCACCCAACTGCATGATCCCAAGACCCTGAGATCGCTGACCTCAGCCGAAGTCAAGAGTTGGCCACCCAACTGCATGATCCCAAGACCCTGAGATCGCTGACCCCAGCCGAAGTCAAGAGTTTGCCACCCAACTGCATGATCCCAAGACCCTGAGATCGCTGACCCCAGCCAAAGTCAAGAGTTGGCCACCCAACTGAATGATCCCACAACCCCGAGATCATGGACCCCAGCCAAAACCAAGAGTTGGGCACCAAACTGATCCTAGGACTTCGAGAACACTGACCTTAGCTCAAGTCAGGAGTTGGCTGCCCCACTGACTGAGCCCCCCAGGGACCCCCCAAGTGCCACTTTCATATAAAAATTACATGTGATTTCCAAAAAATAAATATGCCTACAAGGTCCTAAAATAGTCCTTACCTAGATTTCTTCAGCTTCTCCTTGTCCTCACCTACTCTGACTCGGAAATCTCCTTTTGACTCTGGTGTGCTGGAGTAAGTCACAAAAGCCATGCAGACTTGTGTTTGCTATATATTTTTGGTCTGAACTTTACCTGATGCTTGGTGATGCTCTGCTTCATCTCTTATTCATGCTCTATCACATTTCCCATGGTAGGTGTTCCAAGCTTCTCTTGTTTAAGACGTGCTTTATAATTTACATGTGCATGTTTCATGTAATCATTTAACAACTCTGTGAGGAAACAGAGTCTCAGGTCTGGTGGCCACACCAGGGTAACACATCTGAGACTTGAACTCCTGTGCTAGATGCCATGTTTAAGATTCACCTCTAACTTCCCTTTCCTTTCGTAGCTTCTTAGGCATCTAATCCCTTATATACTGAGCAGGTAACTGCCTTTAATTGAGTGAGAAAAAGCAAAGAAAAGCAACACTATCCAGAGAACTCTTTTACTTTCTACTTAAAAATCTATGATTTGTTAGTGTGCCTGGGTGGCTCAGTCTGTTAGGTGCCTGTCCGACTCTTCATTTTGTTTTTTTTTAAGATTTTATTTATTTATTCATGAGAGACAGAGAAAGAGAGAGAGGCAGAGACCCAGGCAGAGGGAGAAGCAGGGTCCATGCAGGGAGCCCGATGCAGGACTCAATCCCGGATCTCCAGGATCAGGCCCTGGGCGGAAGGCAGCACTAAACCCCTGAGCCACCTGGGCTGCCCCTCGACTCTTGATTTTGACGCAGGTCGTGATTTCGGGGTTGTGAGATCAAACCCCATGTTGGGCTCTCCCTCTGCCCTCCTTCCCGCCAAAATTAAAAAATCTATGTTTTGTCACACTTCCTCTTATGCACATCCTGACTGCCTCTCTTCTGTTCCTCAAGACCTTTGCTCTTTATTCCAACCTCTCCTGGCTCTTCAAAACCTTGCTGCTCCTACATTTTCAATTGCTTTTTTACTAGCATGTTCTTTTTACCAGGAGTTATGATCAAGTCCTAAAAGGAGGAAGCAAATCCTTCCTTGACTGAGCTGGCTTTCCACCTACTGACTTTTGTGACTCTCGCTCCTCTATTTCTCAAAAGAGTAGTCCCACTTTGTGTTCATCACCATCACCACCCATTTCTTTTCCACAGTTTTTGAACAAACTGCCAACTCCTCTTTTCCATTGAAACTTTTCTCTTGTAGGTTATAAGTGGCCAAGTCACTGGTCTTTTCTGAATATGCAATTTCTTTAGTACTCACCATAGTTATGTACTTCATCATCCTTCAGATTTGCTTCCTTCTTGACTTCTGAAATGCTCTACTCTCCTGGCCTTGGTATCTCTTGGGCTGCTTCTCCCACTCTCCTTCCTCACTTCATCCTCTTTATACCCTACCTTCTCTCTACATGCCCTCTTACACAAATAATTCCCAGATCCACACTTTCTTCCCTGAACTTTGGTCTTAACTATCTATTCTAAATCTGCATCCAAATGTGTCCCCATCATTAAGTCCCACATACCATAAACTTCACTGAACCTTTTTTCTCACTAAGCTATACTCTTTGAATTTTTCTATTTTATTCTCTCAAGGAGATCATTAGTCTCCCCTCTATCCAGCTTGAAACCTTATAGTGCTCCTGGCTTCCTTTCTCTTTTTCCATATCCAGGCAGGTATCAATTTCTTTCCATCCTCACTGCCAACATCTTACTGAATAGGACTTTAGAATGATACAGGACTTTAACCTCAATGTTGTAATAGTCTCTGGATTATCCCTGCCCTCTCTTTTTATTTTTTTGGTCATTCCTACAATTTTTCCCCAATTAATTGGGAAAACATGGTACAAGGGAGTCTTTTAAAGTTTCTGTAGCTCCCCATCTCCATAGCATAAAATCTGGATTCCCTATTACACACATAAAACTGGCCTTTTAGGGATGCCTGGGTGGCTCAGCAGTGGCATGCCTGTCTTCAGCCCAGGGTGTGATCCTGGAGTCCTGGGATCGAGTCCCACATCAGGCTCCCTGCATGGAGCCTGCTGCTTTCTCTGCCTGTGTCTCTGCCTCTCTGTGTGTCTCATGAATGAATAAATAAAATCTTAAAAAACAAAATGAAACAAAAACAACTGGCCTTTTAGTTATCCCCTAAACATTGTCAGACACACTTCTTTTTTGCCAGTTTTGTC